TCGCCCCTACCCCCCCCCCCCCCTATTTATTGGTAGACTTTGGGGGAGGATTTAGTAGAATACATGGCATACCTTTTGAAAATTTCCTGCAAAACTTGCTAAAATTCTAATAAAATATTCGAATTTATTTCAAATAATATAATGTATTATAAAGGATTTTTATGTTGCAAAAATAAGCAATTTCAGTGCCAAAAATAATGGATTATAATCAATTATAATGGTTTAATATGGATTATAATTGATTCTTTTTTCAAACGTAATCGATTATAATGGCAATATAATCGATTTCGATGTCTGAATTGTACATCTGCAATGGATTATTTTTGTCTCGAGAATCCATTTTAATCGATTAGAATCCATGGGCGCTCGGTGCGGGTAACCTATGTTACAGGTCTTTTTATTTGCGATGTGGTTTAAAAGTTGAACCTTTGTTTAAGAATTGAAACAAGCTTTTCGGGACTGATATTTGGACTAATAGAGCAAGCTGCTGACTCATAATGAAAGTTGTCTGCCGAATCTGTAAGTGAGCCAGCAGAATGTGAACACGCAGACGAGAAGAGAAGATAACAGGGACAGGTACGAACTGATCAAGGACGGGGCAGACGCAAACTGGACATGGATGATATATTGCTGGTTTATGTAGTCATCGTAGTCATCCGAGTCTGAAGAAGACGACGGGCCAGGGGGTGGAGGTGGGGTAATGGGGTTGGGTTTGAAGGTAGGATTGTTAGGCATAGGGGTTGGAGATCCACCAAATCCACCCCCTAGAGAAGTCGAGCTGCCATTTGATCCTGCAATTGGGGCCGCTGGCACAGCCGTGCTTCCAGGTCCTCTAGATGGGCCATTAGATCCAGTAGCTGCTACGGCAGAGCCAGTTGTTGCTCCAGGAGCTCCAGATGGTCCATTAGATCCAGTAACTGGTTTGGCAGAGCCCGTTGATGCTCCAGGTCCTCCAGATGGGCCATTAGATCCAGTAGCAGGTACGGCAGAGCCACTTGATGCTCCAGGTCCTCTAGATGGGCCATTAGATCCGGTAGCTGGTACGGCAGAGCCAGTTGTTGCTCCAGGAGCTCCAGATGGGCCATTAGATCCAGTAGCAGGTACGGCAGAGCCAATTGTTGCTCCAGGTCCTCCAGATGGGCCATTAGATCCGGTAGCTGGTACGACAGAGCCAGTTGATGCTCCAGGTCCTCCAGATGGGCCATTAGATCCGGTAGCTGGTACGACAGAGCCAGTTGATGCTCCAGGTCCTCCAGATGGGCCATTAGATCCGGTAGCAGGTACGGCAGAGCCACTTGTTGCTCCATGTCCTCCAGATGGGCCATTAGATCCGGTAGCTGATACGGCAGAGCCAGTTGATGCTCCAGGTCCTCCAGATGGGCCATTAGATCTAGTAGCAGGTACGACAGAGCCACTTGTTGCTCCAGGTCCTCCAGATGGGCCATTAGATCCAGTAGCTGGTACGGCAGAGCCAGTTGATGCTCCAGGTCCTCTAGATGGGCCATTAGATCCGGTAGCCGGTACGGCAGAGCCAGTTGTTGCTCCAGGTCCTCCAGATGGGCCATTAGATCCGGTAGCAGGTACGGCAGAGCCACTTGTTGCTCCAGGTCCTCCAGATGGGCCATTAGATCCGGTAGCTGGTACGGCAGAGCCAGTTGATGCTCCAGGTCCTCCAGATGGGCCATTAGATCTAGTAGCAGGTACGGCAGAGCCACTTGTTGCTCCAGGTCCTCCAGATGGGCCATTAGATCTAGTAGCTGGTACGGCAGAGCCAGTTGATGCTCCAGGTCCTCTAGATGGGCCATTAGATCCGGTAGCCGGTACGGCAGAGCCATTTGTTGCTCCAGATCCTCCAGATGGGCCATTAGATCCGATAGCTGGTACGGCAGAGCCAGTTGATGCTCCAGGTCCTCCAGATGGGCCATTAGATCCGGTAGCAGGTACGACAGAGCCAGTTGTTGCTCCAGTTCCTCCAGATGGCCCATTAGATCCGGTAGCTGGTACGCCAGAGCTAGTTGTTACTCCAGGAGCTCCAGATGGGCCATTAGATCCGGTAGCATGTACGGCAGAGCCAGTTGATGCTCCAGGTCCTCCAGATGGGCCATTAGATCCGGTAGCTGGTACGACAGAGCCAGTTGATGCTCCAGGTCCTCCAGATGGGCCATTAGATCCGGTAGCAGGTACGGCAGAGCCACTTGTTGCTCCATGTCCTCCAGATGGGCCATTAGATCCGGTAGCTGATACGGCAGAGCCAGTTGATGCTCCAGGTCCTCCAGATGGGCCATTAGATCTAGTAGCAGGTACGACAGAGCCACTTGTTGCTCCAGGTCCTCCAGATGGGCCATTAGATCCAGTAGCTGGTACGGCAGAGCCAGTTGATGCTCCAGGTCCTCTAGATGGGCCATTAGATCCGGTAGCCGGTACGGCAGAGCCAGTTGTTGCTCCAGGTCCTCCAGATGGGCCATTAGATCCGGTAGCAGGTACGGCAGAGCCACTTGTTGCTCCAGGTCCTCCAGATGGGCCATTAGATCCGGTAGCTGGTACGGCAGAGCCAGTTGATGCTCCAGGTCCTCCAGATGGGCCATTAGATCTAGTAGCAGGTACGGCAGAGCCACTTGTTGCTCCAGGTCCTCCAGATGGGCCATTAGATCTAGTAGCTGGTACGGCAGAGCCAGTTGATGCTCCAGGTCCTCTAGATGGGCCATTAGATCCGGTAGCCGGTACGGCAGAGCCATTTGTTGCTCCAGGTCCTCCAGATGGGCCATTAGATCCGATAGCTGGTACGGCAGAGCCAGTTGATGCTCCAGGTCCTCCAGATGGGCCATTAGATCCGGTAGCAGGTACGACAGAGCCAGTTGTTGCTCCAGTTCCTCCAGATGGCCCATTAGATCCGGTAGCTGGTACGCCAGAGCTAGTTGTTACTCCAGGAGCTCCAGATGGGCCATTAGATCCTGTAGCTGGTACGGCAGAGCCAGTTGATGCTCCAGGTCCTCCAGATGGGCCATTAGATCTAGTAGCAGGTACGGCAGAGCCACTTGTTGCTCCAGGTCCTCCAGATGGGCCATTAGATCTAGTAGCTGGTACGGCAGAGCCAGTTGATGCTCCAGGTCCTCTAGATGGGCCATTAGATCCGGTAGCCGGTACGGCAGAGCCATTTGTTGCTCCAGGTCCTCCAGATGGGCCATTAGATCCGATAGCTGGTACGGCAGAGCCAGTTGATGCTCCAGGTCCTCCAGATGGGCCATTAGATCCGGTAGCAGGTACGACAGAGCCAGTTGTTGCTCCAGTTCCTCCAGATGGCCCATTAGATCCGGTAGCTGGTACGCCAGAGCTAGTTGTTACTCCAGGAGCTCCAGATGGGCCATTAGATCCTGTAGCTGGTACGGCAGAGCCAGTTGATGCTCCAGGTCCTCCAGATGGGCCATTAGATCCGGTAGCAGGTACGACAGAGCCAGTTGTTGCTCCAGTTCCTCCAGATGGGCCATTAGATCCGGTAGCTGGTACGGCAGAGCTAGTTGTTACTCCAGGAGTTCCAGATGGGCCATTAGATCCAGTAGCTGGTACGGCAGAGCCAGATGATGGTCCAGGTCCTCCAGATGGGCCATTAGATCCAGTAGCTGTTACGGCAGAGCCAGTTGTTGCTCCAGATGCTCCAGATGGGCCATTAGATCCAGTAGCTGGTACGGCAGAGCCAGTTGATGCTCCAGGTCCTCTAGATGGGCCATTAGATCCGGTAGCCGGTACGGCAGAGCCAGTTGTTGCTCCAGGCCCTCCAGATGGGCCATTAGATCCGGTAGCAGGTACGACAGAGCCAGTTGTTGCCCCAGTTCCTCCAGATGGGCCATTAGATCCAGTAGCTGGTATGGCCGAGCCAGTTGTTACTCCAGGAGCTCTAGATGGACCATTAGATCCAGTAGCAGGTACGGCAGAGCCACTTGTTGCTCCAGGTCCTCCAGATGGGCCATTAGATCCGGTAGCTGGTACGGCAGAGCCAGTCGTTGCTCCAGGCCCTCCAGATGGGCCATTAGATCCAGTAGCTGGTATTGCGGATCCAGTTGTTGCTCCAGGTCCTGCAGATGTGCCACTAGATCCAGTAGCTGATACGGCAGAGCCAGTTGTTGCTCCAGGTGCTCCAGTTGGGCCAATCGTTCCAGTAGCTGGTACTGCAGAGCCTGTTGTTGCTCCAGGTCTTCTAGATGGGCCATTAGATCCGGTAGCTGGTACAGCAGAGCCATATGATGCTCCAGGTCCTCCAGATGGGCCACTAGATCCAGTAGCTGGTATGGCCGAGCCAGTTGTTGCTCCAGGAGCTCCAGACGGCCCATTAGATCCAGTAGCTGGTACGGCAGAGCCAGATGATGCTCCAGGTCCTCCAGATGGGCCATTAGATCCAGTAGCTGTTACGGCAGAGCCAGTTGTTGCTCCAGGTGCTCCAGATGGGCCATTAGGTCCAGTAGCTGGTACGGCAGAGCCAGATGATGCTCCAGGTCCTCCAGATGGGCCATTAGATCCAGTAGCTGGTACGGCAGAGCCATATGATGCTCCAGGTCCTCCAGATGGGCCATTAGATCCGGTAATTGGTACGGCAGATCCAGATGATACTCCAGGTCCTCCAGATGGACCATTAGATCCGGTAGCTGGTACGGCAGAGCCAGTTGATGATACAGATCCTCCAGATGGGCCATTAGATCCAGTAGCTGGTACGGCAGAGCCAGTTGTTGCTCCAGGTGCTCCAGATGGGCCTTTAGATCCAGTAGCTGGTATGGCCGAGCCAGTTGTTGCTCCAGGAGCTCCAGATGGCCCATTAGATGCAGTAGCTGGTACGGCAGAGCCATATGATGCTCCAGGTCCTCCAGATGGGCCACTAGATCCAGTAGCTGGTATGGCCGAGCCAGTTGTTGCTCCAGGAGCTCCAGATGGTCCATTAGATCCAGTAGCTGGTACGGCAGAGCCAGGTGATGCTCCAGGTCCTCCAGATGGGCCATTAGATCCAGTAGCTGTTACGGCAGAGCCAGTTGTTGCTCCAGGTGCTCCAGATGTGCCATTAGGTCCAGTAGCTGGTACGGCAGCACCAGATGATGCTCCAAGTCCTCCAGATGGGCCAATAGATCCAGTAGCTGGTACGGCAGAGCCATATGATGCTCCAGGTCCTCCAGATGGGCCATTAGATCCGGTAATTGGTACGGTAGAGCCAGATGATGCTCCAGGTCCTCCAGATTGACCATTAGATCCGGTAGCTGGTACGACAGAGCCAGTTGATGATACAGATCCTCCAGATGGGCCATTAGATCCAGTAGCTGGTACGGCAGAGCCAGTTGTTACTCCAGGTCCTCCAGATGGATCATTAGATCCAGTAGCTGGTACGGCAGAGCCAGATGATGCTCCAGGTCCTCCAGATGGGCCATTAGATCCAGTAGCTGGTACGGCAGAGCCAGTTGATGCTCCAGGTCCTCCAGATGGGCCATTAGATCCAGTAGCTGGTATGGGAGAGCCAGTTGTTGCTCCAGGTGCTCCAGATGGGCCATTAGATCCAGTGGCTGGTACCGCAGAGCCAGTTGTTGCTCCAGGTCCTCCAGATGGGCCATTAGAACCGGTAGCTGGTACGGCAGAGCCAGTTGTTGCTCCAGCTGCTCCAGATGGGCCATTAGATCCAGTAGCTGGTACAGCAGAGCCAGATGATGCTCCAGGTGCTCCAGATGGGCCATTAGATCCAGTGGCTGGTACTGCAGAGCCAGTTGTTGCTCCAGGTCCTCCAGATGGGCTATTAGATCCAGTGGCTGGTACTGCAGAGCCAGTTGTTGCTCCAGGTCCTCCAGATGGGCCAATAGATCCAGTGGCTGGTACTGCAGAGCCAGTTGATGCTCCAGGTCCTCCAGATGGGCCATTAGATCCAGTAGCTGCAATGGCCGAGCCAGTTGTTGCTCCAGGAGCTCCAGATGGCCCATTAGATCCAGTAGCTGGTACGGCAGAGCCAGATGACGCTCCAGGGCCTCCAGATGGGCCACTAGATCCAGTAGCTTGTATGGCCGAGCCAGTTGTTGCTCCAGGAGCTCCAGATGGCCCATTAGATCCAGTAGCTGGTACGGCAGAGCCAGATGATGCTCCAGGTCCTCCAGATGGGCCATTAGACCCATTAGCTGTTACGGCAGAGCCAGTTGTTGCTCCAGGTGCTCCAGATGAGCCATTAGATCCAGTAGCTGGTACGGCAGAGCCAGATGATGATCCAGGTCCTCCAGATGGGCCATTAGATCCAGTAGCTGGTACGGCAGAGCCATATGATGCTCCAGGTCCTCCAGATGCGCCATTAGATCCGGTAATTGGTACGGCAGAGCCAGATGATCCTCCCGGTCCTCCAGATGGCCCATTAGATCCGGTAGCTGGTACGGCAGAGCCAGTTGATGATCCAGATCCTCCAGATGGGCCATTAGATCCAGTAGCTGGTACGGCAGAGCCAGTTGTTGCTCCAGGTGCTCCAGATGGGCCATTAGATCCAGTAGCTGGTACGGCAGAGCCAGATGATGCTCCAGGTCCTCCAGATGGCCCATTAGATCCAGTAGCTGGTACGGCAGAACCAGATGATGCTCCAGGTCCTCCAGATGGGCCATTAGATCCAGTAGCTGGTATGGGAGAGCCAGTTGTTGCTCCAGGTGCTCCAGATGGGCCATTAGATCCAGTGGCTGGTACTGCAGAGCCAGTTGTTGCTCCAGGTCCTCCAGATGGGCCATTAGATCCGGTAGCTGGTACGGCAGAGCCAGTTGATGCTCCAGGTCCTCCAGATGGGCCATTAGATCCAGTAGCTGTTACAGCAGAGCCAGTTAATGCTCCAGGTGCTCCAGATGCGCCATTAGATCCGGTAATTGGTACGGCAGAGCCAGATGATCCTCCCGGTCCTCCAGATGGCCCATTAGATCCGGTAGCTGGTACGGCAGAGCCAGTTGATGATCCAGATCCTCCAGATGGGCCATTAGATCCAGTAGCTGGTACGGCAGAGCCAGTTGTTGCTCCAGGTGCTCCAGATGGGCCATTAGATCCAGTAGCTGGTACGGCAGAGCCAGATGATGCTCCAGGTCCTCCAGATGGCCCATTAGATCCAGTAGCTGGTACGGCAGAACCAGATGATGCTCCAGGTCCTCCAGATGGGCCATTAGATCCGGTAGCTGGTACGGCAGAGCCAGTTGATGCTCCAGGTCCTCCAGATGGGCCATTAGATCCAGTAGCTGTTACAGCAGAGCCAGTTAATGCTCCAGGTGCTCCAGATGGGCCATTAGATCCAGTAGCTGGTACGGCAGAGCCAGATGATGCTCCAGGTCCTCCAGAAGGGCCATTTGATCCGGTAATTGGTACGGCAGAGCCTGATGATGCTCCAGGTCCTCCAGATGGGCCATTAGATCTGGTAGCTGGTACGGCAGAGCCAGTTGTTGCTCCAGGTCCTCCAGATGGGCCATTAGATCCAGTAGCTGGTAAGGCAGAACCAGTTGTTGCTCTAGTAGCTCCTGATGGGCCATTAGATCCAGTAGCTGGTACGGGAGAGCCAGTTGTTGCTCCAGGTCCTCGAGATGGGCCATTAGATCCGGTAGCTGGTACGGCAGAGCGAGTGGAAGCTCCAGGACTTCCAGATGGGCCATTAGATCCAGTAGCTGGTACGGCAGAGCCAGTTGTTGCTCCAGGTGTTCCAGATGGGCCATTTGATCCAGTAGCTTGTACAGCAGAGCCAGATGATACTCCAGGTCCTCCAGATGGGCCATTAGATCCAGTAGCTGTTACGGCAGAGCCAGTTGTTGCTCCAGGTGCTCCAGATGGGCCATTAGATCCAGTAGCTGGTACTGCAGAGCCAGTTGTTGCTCCAGGTCCCCCAGTTGGGCCATTAGATCCGGTAGCTGGTACGGCAGAGCCAGTTGTTGCTCCAAGTCCCCCAGTTGGGCCATTAGATCCGGTAGCTGGTACGACCGAGCCAGTTGTTGCTCCAGGTGCTCCAGATGGGCCATTAGATCCAGTAGCTGGTACGGCAGAGCCAGTTGTTGCTCCAGGTGCTCCAGATGGGCCATTAGATCCTGTAGCTAATACGGCAGAGCCAGTTGATGCTCCAGGTACTCCAGATGGGCCATTAGATCCAGTAGTTAGTACGCCAGAGCCAGTTTTTGCTCCAGGTGCTCCAGATGGGCCATTAGATCCAGTAGCTGGTACTGCAGAGCCAGTTGTTGCTCCAGGTCCCCCAGTTGGACCATTAGATCCGGTAGCTGGTACGGCAGAGCCAGTTGTTGCTCCAGGTGCTCCAGATGGGCCATTAGATCCAGTAGCTGGTACGGCAGAGCCAGTTGTTGCTCCAGGTGCTCCAGAGGGGCCATTAGATCCAGTAGCTGCTACGACAGAGCCAGTTTTTGCTCCAGGTGCTCCAGATGGGCCATTAGATCCAGTAGCTGGTACGGCAGAGCCAGTTGTTGCTCCAGAAGCTCCAGGTGGGCCATTAGATCCAGTAGCTGGTACGGCAGAGCCAGATGATGCTCCAGGTCCTCCAGATAGGCCATTAGATCTGGTAGCTGGTACGGCAGAGCCAGTTGTTGCTCCAGGTCCTCCAGATGGGCCATTAGATCCAGTAGCTGGTATGGGAGAGCCAGTTGTTGCTCCAGGTCCTCCAGATGGGCCATTAGATCCAGTAGCTGTTACAGCAGAGCCAGTTAATGCTCCAGGTGCTCCAGATGGACCATTAGATCCAGTAGCTGGTACGGCAGAGCCAGATGATGCTCCAGGTCCTCCAGAAGGGCCATTTGATCCGGTAATTGGTACGGCAGAGCCTGATGATGCTCCAGGTCCTCCAGATGGGCCATTAGATCTGGTAGCTGGTACGGCAGAGCCAGTTTTTGCTCCAGGTCCTCCAGATGGGCCATTAGATCCAGTAGCTGGTACGGCAGAACCAGTTGTTGCTCCAGTAGCTCCTGATGGGCCATTAGATCCAGTAGCTGGTACGGGAGAGCCAGTTGTTGCTGCAGGTCCTCGAGATGGGCCATTAGATCCGGTAGCTGGTACGGCAGAGCGAGTTGAAGCTCCAGGACTTCCAGATGGGCCATTAGATCCAGTAGCTGGTACGGCAGAGCCCGTTGTTGCTCCAGGTGTTCCAGATGGGCCATTTGATCCAGTAGCTTGTACAGCAGAGCCAGATGATACTCCAGGTCCTCCAGATGGGCCATTAGATCCAGTAGCTGGTACTGCAGAGCCAGTTGTTGCTCCAGGTCCCCCAGTTGGGCCATTAGATCCGGTAGCTGGTACGGCAGAGCCAGTTGTTGCTCCAAGTCCCCCAGTTGGGCCATTAGATCCGGTAGCTGGTACGACAGAGCCAGTTGTTGCTCCAGGTGCTCCAGATGGGCCATTAGATCCAGTAGCTGGTACGGCAGAGCCAGTTGTTGCTCCAGGTGCTCCAGATGGGCCATTAGATCCTGTAGCTAATACGGCAGAGCCAGTTGATGCTCCAAGTCCCCCAGTTGGGCCATTAGATCCGGTAGCTGGTACGACAGAGCCAGTTGTTGCTCCAGGTGCTCCAGATGGGCCATTAGATCCAGTAGCTGGTACGGCAGAGCCAGTTGTTGCTCCAGGTGCTCCAGATGGGCCATTAGATCCTGTAGCTAATACGGCAGAGCCAGTTGATGCTCCAGGTACTCCAGATGGGCCATTAGATCCAGTAGTTAGTACGCCAGAGCCAGTTTTTGCTCCAGGTGCTCCAGATGGGCCATTAGATCCAGTAGCTGGTACTGCAGAGCCAGTTGTTGCTCCAGGTCCCCCAGTTGGGCCATTAGATCCGGTAGCTGGTACGGCAGAGCCAGTTGTTGCTCCAGGTGCTCCAGATGGGCCATTAGATCCAGTAGCTGGTACGGCAGAGCCAGTTGTTGCTCCAGGTGCTCCAGAGGGGCCATTAGATCCAGTAGCTGCTACGACAGAGCCAGTTTTTGCTCCAGGTGCTCCAGATGGGCCATTAGATCCAGTAGCTGGTACGGCAGAGCCAGTTGTTGCTCCAGAAGCTCCAGGTGGGCCATTAGATCCAGTAGCTGGTACGGCAGAGCCAGATGATGCTCCAGGTCCTCCAGATAGGCCATTAGATCCGGTAGCTGGTACGGCAGAGCCAGTTGATGCTCCAGGTCCTCCAGATGGGCCATTAGATCCGATAGTTAGTACGACAGAGCCAGTTGATGCTCCAGGTCCTCCAGATGGGCCATTAGATCCGGTAGCTGGTACGGCAGAGCCAGTTGTTGCTCCAGGTCCTCCAGATGGGCCATTAGGTCCGATAGTTGGTACGACAGAGCCAGTTGATGCTCCAGGTCCTCCAGATGGGCCATTAGATCCAGTAGCTGGTACGGCAGAGCCAGTTGTTGCTCCAGGTGCTCCAGATGGGCCATTAGATCCAGTTGCTGGTACGGCAGAGCCAGTTTTAGCTCCAGGTGCCCTAGATGGGCCATTAGATCCAGTAGCTTGTACTGCAGAGCCAGTTGTTGCTCCAGGTCCACCAGATGGGCCATTAGATCCGGTAGCTGGTACGGCAGAGCCAGTTATTGCTCCAGGTGCTCCAGATGGGCCATTAGATCCAGTAGCTGGTACGGCAGAGCCAGTTGTTGCTCCAGGTGCTCCAGATGGGCCATTAGATCCAGTAGCTGGTACGGCAGAGCCAGTCTTTGCTCCAGGTGCTCCAGATGGGCCATTAGATCCAGTAGCTGGTACTGCAGAGCCAGTTGATGCTCCAGGTCTTCCAGATGGGCCATTAGATCCAGTAGCTGGTACGGCAGAGCCAGTTGTTGCTCCAGGTGCTCCAGATGGGCCATTAGATCCAGTAGCTGGTGCGGCAGAGCCAGATGATGCTCCAGGTCCTGCAGATGGGCCATTAGATCCAGTAGCTGTTACGGCAGAGCCAGTTGTTGCTCCAGGTGCTCCAGTTGGGCCATTAGATCCGGTTGCTGGTACGGCAGAGCCTGATGATGCTCCAGGTCCTCCAGATGGGCCATTAGATCCGGTAGCTGGTACGGCAGAGCCAGTTATTGCTCCAGGTCTTCCAGATGGGCCATTAGATCCGGTAGCTGGTAAGACAGAACCAGTTGATGCTCCAGGTGCTCCAGGTGGGCCATTAGATCCAGTTGCTGGTACGGCAGAGCCAGTTTTAGCTCCAGGTGCCCTAGATGGGCCATTAGATCCAGTAGCTGGTACTGCAGAGCCAGTTGTTGCTCCAGGTCCACCAGATGGGCCATTAGATCCGGTAGCTGGTACGGCAGAGCCAGTTATTGCTCCAGGTGCTCCAGATGGGCCATTAGATCCAGTAACTGGTACGGCAGAGCCAGTTGTTGCTCCAGGTGCTCCAGATGGACCATTAGATCCTGTAGCTGGTACGGCAGAGCCAGTCTTTGGCCCAGGTGCTCCAGATGGGCCATTAGATCCAGTAGCTGGTACTGCAGAGCCAGTTGATGCTCCAGGTCCTCCAGATGGGCCATTAGATCCAGTAGCTGGTACGGCAGAGCCAGTTGTTGCTCCAGGTGCTCCAGATGGGCCATTAGATCCAGTAGCTGGTGCGGCAGAGCCAGATGATGCTCCAGGTCCTGCAGATGGGCCATTAGATCCAGTAGCTGTTACGGCAGAGCCAGTTGTTGCTCCAGGTGCTCTAGTTGGGCCATTAGATCCAGTAGCTGGTACGACAGAGCCAGATGATGCTCCAGGTCGTCCAGATGGGCCATTAGATCCGGTTGCTGGTACGGCAGAGCCTGATGATGCTCCAGGTCCTCCAGATGGGCCATTAGATCCGGTAGCTGATACGGCAGAGCCAGTTATTGCTCCAGGTCTTCCAGATGGGCCATTAGATCCGGTAGCTGGTAAGACAGAACCAGTTGATGCTCCAGGTCCTCCAGATGGGCCATTAGATCCAGTAGCTGGTACAGCAGAGCCAGTTGTTGCTCCAGGTGCTCCAGATGGGCCATTTGATCCAGTGGCTGGTACGGCAGAGCCAAATGATGCTCCAGGTCCTCCAGATGGGCCATTAGATCCAGTAGCAGGTACGGCAGAGCCAGATGATGCTCCAGGTCCTCCCGATGGGCTATTAGATCCGGTAGCTGTTACGGCAGACCCAGTTGTTGCTCCAGCTCCTCCAGATGGGCCATTAGATCCGGTAGCTGGTACGACAGAGCCGGTTGATGCTCCAGGTCCTCCAGATGGGCCATTAGATCCAGTAGCTGTTACGGCAGAGCCAGTTGTTGCTCCAGGTGCTCTAGTTGGGCCATTAGATCCAGTAGCTGGTACGACAGAGCCAGATGATGCTCCAGGTCGTCCAGATGGGCCATTAGATCCGGTTGCTGGTACGGCAGAGCCTGATGATGCTCCAGGTCCTCCAGATGGGCCATTAGATCCGGTAGCTGATACGGCAGAGCCAGTTATTGCTCCAGGTCTTCCAGATGGGCCATTAGATCCGGTAGCTGGTAAGACAGAACCAGTTGATGCTCCAGGTCCTCCAGATGGGCCATTAGATCCAGTAGCTGGTACAGCAGAGCCAGTTGTTGCTCCAGGTGCTCCAGATGGGCCATTTGATCCAGTGGCTGGTACGGCAGAGCCAAATGATGCTCCAGGTCCTCCAGATGGGCCATTAGATCCAGTAGCAGGTACGGCAGAGCCAGATGATGCTCCAGGTCCTCCAGATGGGCCATTAGATCCAGTAGCTGGTACGGCAGAGCCAGTTGTTGCTCCAGGTGCTCCAGATGGGCCATTAGATCCAGTAGCTGGTGCGGCAGAGCCAGATGATGCTCCAGGTCCTGCAGATGGGCCATTAGATCCAGTAGCTGTTACGGCAGAGCCAGTTGTTGCTCCAGGTGCTCTAGTTGGGCCATTAGATCCAGTAGCTGGTACGACAGAGCCAGATGATGCTCCAGGTCGTCCAGATGGGCCATTAGATCCGGTTGCTGGTACGGCAGAGCCTGATGATGCTCCAGGTCCTCCAGATGGGCCATTAGATCCGGTAGCTGATACGGCAGAGCCAGTTATTGCTCCAGGTCCTCCAGATGGGCCATTAGATCCGGTAGCTGATACGGCAGAGCCAGTTATTGCTCCAGGTCTTCCAGATGGGCCATTAGATCCGGTAGCTGGTAAGACAGAACCAGTTGATGCTCCAGGTCCTCCAGATGGGCCATTAGATCCAGTAGCTGGTACAGCAGAGCCAGTTGTTGCTCCAGGTGCTCCAGATGGGCCATTTGATCCAGTGGCTGGTACGGCAGAGCCAAATGATGCTCCAGGTCCTCCAGATGGGCCATTAGATCCAGTAGCAGGTACGGCAGAGCCAGATGATGCTCCAGGTCCTCCAGATGGGCCATTAGATCCAGTAGCTGGTACGGCAGAGCCAGTTGTTGCTCCAGGTGCTCCAGATGGGCCATTAGATCCAGTAGCTGGTGCGGCAGAGCCAGATGATGCTCCAGGTCCTGCAGATGGGCCATTAGATCCAGTAGCTGTTACGGCAGAGCCAGTTGTTGCTCCAGGTGCTCTAGTTGGGCCATTAGATCCAGTAGCTGGTACGACAGAGCCAGATGATGCTCCAGGTCGTCCAGATGGGCCATTAGATCCGGTTGCTGGTACGGCAGAGCCTGATGATGCTCCAGGTCCTCCAGATGGGCCATTAGATCCGGTAGCTGATACGGCAGAGCCAGTTATTGCTCCAGGTCTTCCAGATGGGCCATTAGATCCGGTAGCTGGTAAGACAGAACCAGTTGATGCTCCAGGTCCTCCAGATGGGCCATTAGATCCAGTAGCTGGTACAGCAGAGCCAGTTGTTGCTCCAGGTGCTCCAGATGGGCCATTTGATCCAGTGGCTGGTACGGCAGAGCCAAATGATGCTCCAGGTCCTCCAGATGGGCCATTAGATCCAGTAGCAGGTACGGCAGAGCCAGATGATGCTCCAGGTCCTCCCGATGGGCTATTAGATCCGGTAGCTGTTACGGCAGACCCAGTTGTTGCTCCAGCTCCTCCAGATGGGCCATTAGATCCGGTAGCTGGTACGACAGAGCCGGTTGATGCTCCAGGTCCTCCAGATGGGCCATTAGATCCAGTAGCTGTTACGGCAGAGCCAGTTGTTGCTCCAGGTGCTCCAGATGGGAAATTAGACCCAGTAGCTGGTACAGCAGAGCCAGTTGTTGCTCCAGGTGCTCCAGATGGGCCATTAGATCCAGTAGCTGGTACTGCAGAGCCAGTTGATGCTCCAGGTCCTCCAGATGGGCCATTAGATCCAGTAGCTGGTACGGCAGAGCCAGTTGTTGCTCCAGGTGCTCCAGGTGCTCCAGATGGGCCACTAGATCCAGTAGCAGGTACGGCAGAGCCAGATGATGCTCCAGGTCCTCCCGATGGGCTATTAGATCCGGTAGCTGTTACGGCAGACCCAGTTGTTGCTCCAGCTCCTCCAGATGGGCCATTAGATCCGGTAGCTGGTACGACAGAGCCGGTTGATGCTCCAGGTCCTCCAGATGGGCCATTAGATCCAGTAGCTGTTACGGCAGAGCCAGTTGTTGCTCCAGGTGCTCCAGATGGGCCATTAGACCCAGTAGCTGGTACAGCAGAGCCAGTTGTTGCTCCAGGTGCTCCAGATGGGCCATTAGATCCAGTAGCTGGTACTGCAGAGCCAGTTGATGCTCCAGGTCCTCCAGATGGGCCATTAGATCCAGTAGCTGGTACGGCAGAGCCAGTTGTTGCTCCAGGTGCTCCAGGTGCTCCAGATGGGCCACTAGATCCAGTAGCTGGTGCGGCAGAGCCAGATGATGCTCCAGGTCCTGCAGATGGGCCATTAGATCCAGTAGCTGTAACGGCAGAGCCGGTTGTTGCTCCAGGTGCTCCAGTTGGGCCATTAGATCCGGTAGCTGGTAAGGCAGAGCCAGTTGATGCTCCAGGTCCTCCAGATGGGCCATTAGATCCGGTAGCTGGTACGGCAGAGCCGGTTGTTGCTGCAGGTCCTCCAGATGGGCCATTAGAACCGGTAGCTGGTAAGGCAGAGCCAGTTGATCCTCCAGGTCCTCCAGATGGGCCATTAGATCCAGTAGCTGTTACGGCAGAGCCAGTTGTTGCTCCAGGTGCTCTAGTTGGGCCATTAGATCCAGTAGCTGGTACGACAGAGCCAGATGATGCTCCAGGTCGTCCAGATGGGCCATTAGATCCGGTTGCTGGTACGGCAGAGCCTGATGATGCTCCAGGTCCTCCAGATGGGCCATTAGATCCGGTAGCTGATACGGCAGAGCCAGTTATTGCTCCAGGTCTTCCAGATGGGCCATTAGATCCGGTAGCTGGTAAGACAGAACCAGTTGATGCTCCAGGTCCTCCAGATGGGCCATTAGATCCAGTAGCTGGTACAGCAGAGCCAGTTGTTGCTCCAGGTGCTCCAGATGGGCCATTTGATCCAGTGGCTGGTACGGCAGAGCCAAATGATGCTCCAGGTCCTCCAGATGGGCCATTAGATCCAGTAGCAGGTACGGCAGAGCCAGATGATGCTCCAGGTCCTCCCGATGGGCTATTAGATCCGGTAGCTGTTACGGCAGAACCAGTTGTTGCTCCAGCTCCTCCAGATGGGCCATTAGATCCGGTAGCTGGTACGACAGAGCCGGTTGATGCTCCAGGTGCTCCAGATGGGCCATTAGATCCAGTAGCTGGTACTGCAGAGCCAGTTGATGCTCCAGGTCCTCCAGATGGGCCATTAGATCCAGTAGCTGGTACAGCAGAGCCAGTTGTTGCTCCAGGTGCTCCAGATGGGCCATTAGACCCAGTAGCTGGTACAGCAGAGCCAGTTGTTGCTCCAGGTGCTCCAGATGGGCCATTAGATCCAGTAGCTGGTACTGCAGAGCCAGTTGATGCTCCAGGTCCTCCAGATGGGCCATTAGATCCAGTAGCTGGTACGGCAGAGCCAGTTGTTGCTCCAGGTGCTCCAGGTGCTCCAGATGGGCCACTAGATCCAGTAGCTGGTGCGCCAGAGCCAGATGATGCTCCAGGTCCTGCAGATGGGCCATTAGATCCAGTAGCTGTTACGGCAGAGCCGGTTGTTGCTCCAGGTGCTCCAGTTGGGCCATTAGATCCGGTAGCTGGTAAGGCAGAGCCAGTTGATGCTCCAGGTCCTCCAGATGGGCCATTAGATCCGGTAGCTGGTACGGCAGAGCCGGTTGTTGCTGCAGGTCCTCCAGATGGGCCATTAGAACCGGTAGCTGGTAAGGCAGAGCCAGTTGATCCTCCAGGTCCTCCAGATGGGCCATTAGATCCAGTAGCTGGTACGGCAGAGCTAGATGATGCTCCAGGTCCTCCAGATGGGCCATTAGATCCAATACCTGTTACGGCAGAGCCAGTTGTTGCTCCAGGTGCTCCAGATGGGCCATTAGATCCAGTAGCAGGTACGGCAGAGCCATTTGTTGCTCCAGGTGCTCCAGGTGCTCCAGATGGGCCATTTGATCCGGTAGCTGGTACGGCAGAGCCGGTTGTTGCTGCAGGTCCTCCAGATGGGCCATTAGATCCGGTAGCTGGTAAGGCAGAGCCAGTTGATGATCCAGGTCCTCCAGTTGGGCCATTAGATCCGGTAGCTGGTAAGGCAGAGCCAGGTGATGCTCCAGGTGCTCCAGATGGGCCATTAGATCCAGTGGCTGGTACTGCAGAGCCAGTTGTTGCTCCAGGTCCTCCAGATGGGCTATTAGATCCAGTGGCTGGAACTGCAGAGCCAGTTGTTGCTGCAGGTCCTCCAGATGGGCCATTAGATCCGGTAGCTGGTAAGGCAGAGCCAGTTGATGCTCCAGGTCCTCCAGTTGGACCATTAGATCCAGTAGCTGGTACGGCAGAGCCAGTTGTTGCTCCAGGTCCTCCAGACGGGCCATTAGATCCAATAGCTGGTACGGCAGAGCCAGTTGTTGCTCCAGTTGCTCCAGATGGGCCATTAGATCCAGTAGCTGGTACGGCAGAGCTAGATGATGCTCCAGGTCCTCCAGATGGGCTATTAGATCCAATACCTGTTACGGCAGAGCCAGTTGTTGCTCCAGGTGCTCCAGATGGGCCATTAGATCCAGTAGCAGGTACGGCAGAGCCTGATGATGCTCCAGATCCTCCAGATGGGCCATTAGATCCCGTAGCTGGTAAGGCAGAGCCGGTTGTTGCTCCAGGTCCTCCAGATGGGCCATTAGATCCCGTAGCTGGTATGACAGAGCCAGCTGTTGCTCCAGGCGCTCCAGATGGGCCATTAGATCCAGTAGCTGGTACGGCAGAGCCAGTTGTTGCTCCAGGTGCTCCAGATGGGCCATTAGAGCCGGTAGCTGGTACGGCAGAGCCAGTTGAAGCTCCAGGTACTCCAGATGGGCCATTAGATCCAGTAGCTGGTACGGCAGAGCCGGTTGTTGCTCCAGGTGCTCCAGTTGGGCCATTAGATCCAGTAGCTAGTACGGTAGAGCCAGATGATGCTCCAGGTCCTCCAATTGGGCCATTAGATCCATTAGCTGTTACGACAGAGCCAGTTGTTGCTCCAGGTCCTCCAGATGGGACATTAGATCCGGTAGCTGGTACGGCAGAGCCAGTTGTTGCTCCAGGTGCTCCAGATGGGCCATTAGATCCATTTGCTGGTACGGCAGAGCCAGTTGTTGCTCCAGGTCCTCTAGACGGGCCATTAGATCTAGTAGATGGTACGGCAGAGCCAATTGTTGATCCAGTTGCTCCAGATGGGCCATTAGATCCAGTAGCTGGTACGGCAGAGCTAGATGATGCTCCAGGTCCTCCGGATGGGCCATTAGATCCGCTACCTGTTACGGCAGAGCCAGTTGTTGCTCCAGGTGCTCCAGATGGGCCATTCGATCCAGTAGCAGGTACGGCAGAGCCAGTTGTTGCTCCAGGTGCTCCAGGTGCTCCAGATGGGCCATTAGATCCGGTAGCTGGTACGGCAGAGCCGGTTGTTGCTGCAGGTCCTCCAGATGGGCCATTAGATCCGGTAGCTGGTAAGGCAGAGCCAGTTGATGCTCCAGGTCCTCCAGTTGGGCCATTAGATCCGGTAGCTGGTACGGCAGAGCCAGATGATGCTCCAGGTCCTCCAGATGGCCCATTAGATCCGGTAGTTGGTACGGCAGAGCCGGGTGTTGCTGCAGGTCCTCCAGATGGGCCATTAGATCCGGTAGCTGGTAAGGCAGAGCCTGTTGATGCTCCAGGTACTCCAGTTGGGCCATTAGATCCAGTAGCTGGTACGGCAGAGCCAGCTGTTGCTGCAGGTCCTCCAGACGGGCCATTAGATCCAGTAGCTGGTACGGCAGAGCCAGTTGTTGCTCCAGTTGCTCCAGATGGGCCATTAGATCCAGTAGCTGGTAAGGCTGAGCTAGATGATGCTCCAGGTCCTCCAGATGGGCCATTAGATCCAATACCTGTTACGGCAGAGCCAGTTGTTGCTCCAGGTGCTCCAGATGGGCGATTAGATCCAGTAGCAGGTACGGCAGAGCCAGATGATGCGCCAGGTCTTCCAGATGGGCCATTAGACACAGTAGCTGGTACGGCAGAGCCAGATGATGCTCCAGGTCCTCCAGATGGGCCATTAGATCCGGTAGCTGGTACGGCAGAGCCGGTTGTTGCTCCAGGTCCTCCAGATGGGCCATTAGATCCCGTAGCTGGTATGGCAGAGCCAGTTGTTGCTCCAGGCGCTCCAGATGGGCCATTAGATCCAGTAGCTGGTACGGCAGAGCCAGTTGATGCTCCAGGTGCTCCAGATGGGCCATTAGAGCCGGTAGCTGGTACGGCAGAGCCAGTTGAAGCTCCAGGTCCTCCAGATGGGCCATTAGATCCAGTAGCTGGTACGGCAGAGCCAGTTGTTGCTCCAGGTGCTCCAGTTGAACCATTAGATCCAGTAGCTAGTACGGTAGAGCCAGATGATGCTCCAGGTCCTCCAGATGGCCCATTAGATCCGGTAGTTGGTACGGCAGAGCCGGGTGTTGCTGCAGGTCCTCCAGATGGGCCATTAGATCCGGTAGCTGGTAAGGCAGAGCCTGTTGATGATCCAGGTACTCCAGTTGGGCCATTAGATCCAGTAGCTGGTACGGCAGAGCCAGCTGTTGCTGCAGGTCCTCCAGACGGGCCATTAGATCCAGTAGCTGGTACGGCAGAGCCAGTTGTTGCTCCAGTTGCTCCAGATGGGCCATTAGATCCAGTAGCTGGTAAGGCTGAGCTAGATGATGCTCCAGGTCCTCCAGATGGGCCATTAGATCCAATACCTGTTACGGCAGAGCCAGTTGTTGCTCCAGGTGCTCCAGATGGGCGATTAGATCCAGTAGCAGGTACGGCAGAGCCAGATGATGCGCCAGGTCTTCCAGATGGGCCATTAGACACAGTAGCTGGTACGGCAGAGCCAGATGATGCTCCAGGTCCTCCAGATGGGCCATTAGATCCGGTAGCTGGTACGGCAGAGCCGGTTGTTGCTCCAGGTCCTCCAGATGGGCCATTAGATCCCGTAGCTGGTATGGCAGAGCCAGTTGTTGCTCCAGGCGCTCCAGATGGGCCATTAGATCCAGTAGCTGGTACGGCAGAGCCAGTTGATGCTCCAGGTGCTCCAGTTGGGCCATTAGAGCCGGTAGCTGGTACGGCAGAGCCAGTTGAAGCTCCAGGTCCTCCAGATGGGCCATTAGATCCAGTAGCTGGTACGGCAGAGCCAGTTGTTGCTCCAGGTGCTCCAGTTGAACCATTAGATCCAGTAGCTAGTATGGTAGAGCCAGATGATGCTCCAGGTCCTCCAGTTGGGCCATTAGATCCAGTAGATCTTACGACAGAGCCAGTTGTTGCTCCAGGTCCTCCAGATGGGACATTAGATCCGGTAGCTGGTACGGCAGAGCCAGTTGTTGCTCCAGGTGCTCCAGATGGGCCATTAGATCCAGTAGCAGGTATGGCAGAGCCAGATGATGCTCCAGGTCTTCCAGATGGGCCATTAGATCCCGTAGCTGGTACGGCATAGCCAGATGATGCTCCAGGTCCTCCAGATGGGCCATTAGATCCAGTAGCTGGTACGGCAGAGCCAGTTGTTGCTCCAGGCGCTCCAGATGGGCCATTAGATCCAGTAGCTGGTACGGCAGAGCCAGTTGTTGCGCCAGGTGCTCCAGATGGGCCATTAGATCCAGTAGCTGGTACGGCAGAGCCAGTTGTCGCTCCAGGTGCTCCAGATGGGCCATTAGATCCAGTAGCTAGTACTGCAGAGCTAGATGATGCTCCAGGTCCTCCAGTTGGGCCATTAGATCCAGTAGCTGTTACGACAGAGCCAGTTGTTGCTCCAGGTGCTCCAGATGGGCCATTAGATCCAGTAGCTGGTACGGCAGAGCCAGATGATGCTCCAGGTCCTCCAGTTGGGCCATAAGATCCAGTAGCTGTTACGGCAGAGCCAGTTGATGCTCGAGGTGCTCCAGATGGGCCATTAGATCCAGTAGCTGGTACGGCAGAGCCAGATGATGCTCCAGGTCCTCCAGATGGACCATTAGATCCAGTAGCTGGTACGGCAGAGCCAGTTGTTGCTCCAGGTCCTCCAGATGGGCCATTAGATCCAGTAGCTGGTACTGCAGAGCCAGTTGTTGTTCCAGGTGCTCCAGATGGGCCATTAGATCCAGTAGCTGGTACGGCAGAGCCAGTTGGTGCTCCAGGTGCTCCAGATGGGCCATTAGATCCGGTAGCTGGTACGGCAGAGCCAGATGATGGTCCAGGTCCTCCAGATGGGCCATTAGATCCCGTAGTTGTTACGGCAGGGCCAGTTGTTGCTCCAGGTGCTCCAGATGGGCGATTAGATCCAGTAGCTGGTACGGCAGAGCCAGTTGTTGCTCCAGGTCCTCCAGATGGGCCATTAGATCCAGTAGCTGGTACTGCAGAGCCAGTTGTTGTTCCAGGTGCTCCAGATGGGCCATTAGATCCAGTAGCTGGTACGGCAGAGACAGTTGTTGCTCCAGGTGCTCCATATGGGCCATTAGATCCAGTCGCTGGTACGGCAGAGCCAGTTGTTGCTCCAGGTGCTCCAGATGGGCCATTAGATCCAGTAGTTGTTACGGCAGGGCCAGTTGTTGCTCCAGGTGCTCCAGATGGGCGATTAGATCCAGTAGCTGGTACGGCAGAGCCAGATGATGGTCCAGGTCCTCCAGATGGGCCATTAGATCCATTAGCTGTTACGGCAGAGCCATTTGTTGCTCCAGATGCTCCAGATGGGCCATTAGATCCAGTAGCTAGTACGGCAGAACCAGATGATGCTCCAGGTCCTCCAGATGGGCCATTAGATCCGGTAGCTGGTACGGCAGAGCCAGTTGTTGCTCCAGGTGCTCTAGATGGGCCATTAGATCCAGTAGCTGGTACGGCAGAGCCAGTTGATGTTCCAGCTCCTCCAGATGGGCCATTAGATCCAGTAGCTGTTACGGCAGAGCCAGTTGTTGCTCCAGGTGCTCCAGATGGGCCATTAGCTCCACTAGCTGGTATAGAAGAGCCAGTTGTTGCTCCAGGTGCTCCAGATGGGCCATTAGATCCGGTAGCTGGTAAAGCAGAGCCAGTTGTTGCTCCAGGTGCTCCAGATGGGCCATTAAAACCAGTAGCTGGTACGGCAGAGCCATTTGTTGCTCCAGGTGCCCCAGATTGGCCATTAGATCCAGTAGCTGGTACTGTTGAGCCAGTTGTTGCGCCAGGTCCTGCAGATGGGCCATTAGATCCGGTAGCTGGTACGGCAAAGCCAGTTGATGCTCCAGGTCCTCCAGATGGGCCATTAGATCCAGTAGCTGGTACGGCAGAGCCAGATGTTGCTCCAGGTGCTCCAGATGGGCCATTAGATCCAGTAGCTGGTACGGCAGAGCCAGATGATGCTCCAGGTCCTCCAGATGGGCCATTAGATCCAATAGCTGGTACGGCAGAGCCAGATGATGCTCCAGGTCCTCCAGATGGGCCATTAGATCCGGTAGCTGGTAGGGCAGATCCGGTTGTTGCTCCAGGTCCTCCAGATGGGCCATAAGGTCCAGTAGCTGGTACGGCAGAGCCAGTTGATGCTCCAGGTGCTCCAGATGGGCCATTAGATCCAGTAGCTGGTACAGCAGAGCCAGTTGTTGCTCCAGGTGCCCCAGATGGGCCTTTAGATCCAGTAGCTGGTACTGCAGAGCCAGTTGATGCTCCAGGTCCTCCAGATGGGCCATTAGATCCAGTAGCTGGTACGGCAGAGCCAGTTGTTGCTCCAGGTGCTCCAGATGGGCCACTAGATCCAGTAGCTGGTGCGGCAGAACCAGATGATGCTCCAGGTGCTGCAGATGGGCCATTAGATCCAGTAGCTGTTACGGCTGAGCCAGTTGTTGCTCCAGGTGGTAAAGTTGGGCCATTAGACCCGGTAACTGGTACGGCAGAGCCAGTTGATGCCCCAGGTCCTCCAGATGGGCCATTAGATCCGGTAGCTGGTACGGCAGAGCCAGTTGTTGCTGCAGGTCCTCCAGATGGGCCATTAGATCCGGTAGCTGGTAAGGCAGAGCCAGTTGATGCTCCAGGTCCTCCAGTTGGGCCATTAGATCCAGTAGCTGATACGGCAGAGCCAGTTGTTGCTCCAGGTCCTCCAGACGGGCCATTAGATCCAGTAGCTGGTACGGCAGAGCCATTTGTTGCTCCAGGTGCTCCAGATGGGCCATTAGATCCAGTAGCTGGTACGGCAGAGCTAGATGATGCTCCAGGTCCTCCATATGGGCCATTAGATCCAGTAGCTGTTACGGCAGAGCCAGTTGTTGCTCCAGGTGCTCCAGATGGGCCATTAGATCCAGTAGCAAGTACGGCAGAGCCAGATGATGCTCCAGGTCTTCCAGATGGGCCATTAGACCCGGTAGCTGGTACGGCAGAGCCAGAGGATGCTCCAGGTCCTCCAGATGGGCCATTAGATCCGGTAGCTGGTACGGCAGAGCTTGTTGTTGCTCCAGGTCCTCCAGATGGGCCATTAGATCCCGTAGCTGGTATGTCAGAGCCAGTTGTTGCTCCAGGTGCTCCAGATGGGCCATTAGATCCAGTAGCTGGTACAGCAGAGCCAGTTGTTGCTCCAGGTGCTCCAGATGGGCCATAAGAGCCGGTAGATGGTACGGCAGAGCCAGATGAAGCTCCAGGTCCTCCAGATGGGCCATTTGATCCAGTAGCAAGTACGGCAGAGCCAGATGATGCTCCAGGTCTTCCAGATGGGCCATTAGACCCGGTAGCTGGTACGGCAGAGCCAGATGATGCTCCAGGTCCTCCAGATGGGCCATTAGATCCGGTAGCTGGTACGGCAGAGCCTGCGGTTGCTCCAGGTCCTCCAGATGCGCCATTAGATCCAGTAGCTGGTACGGCAGAGCCAGTTGTTGCTCCAGGCGCTCCAGATGGGCCATTAGATCCAGTAGCTGGTACAGCAGAGCCAGTTGTTGCTCCAGGTGCTCCAGATGGGCCATAAGAGCCGGTAGATGGTACGGCAGAGCCAGATGAAGCTCCAGGTCCTCCAGATGGGCCATTTGATCCAGTAGCTGGTACGGCAGAGCCAGTTGTTGCTCCAGGTGCTCCAGTTGGGCCATTAGATCCAGTAGCTGGTACGTTAGAGCCAGATGATGCTCCAGGTCCTCCAGTTGGGCCATTAGACCAGGTAGCTGGTACGGCAGAGCCAGATGATGTTCCAGGTCCTCCAGATGGGCCATTAGATCCGGTAGCTGGTACGGCAGAGCCGGTTGTTGCTCCAGGTCCTCCAGATGGGCCATTAGATCCCGTAGCTGGTATGGCAGAGCCAGTTAATGCTCCAGGTCCTCCAGATGCGCCATTAGATCCAGTAGCTGGTACGGAAGTGCCAGTTGTTGCTCCAGGCGCTCCAGATGGGCCATTAGATCCAGTAGCTGGTACGGCAGAGCCAGTTGTTGCTCCAGGTGCTCCAGATGGGCCATTAGAGCCGGTAGCTGGTACGGCAGAGCCAGCTGAAGCTCCAGGTCCTCCAGATGGACCATTAGATCCAGTAGCTGGTACGGCAGAGCCAGTTGTTGCTCCAGGTGCTCCAGTTGGGCCATTAGATCCAGTAGCTGGTACGTTAGAGCCAGATGATGCTCCAGGTCCTCCAGTTGGGCCATTAGACCAGGTAGCTGGTACGGCAGAGCCAGATGATGTTCCAGGTCCTCCAGATGGGCCATTAGATCCGGTAGCTGGTACGGCAGAGCCGGTTGTTGCTCCAGGTCCTCGAGATGGGCCATTAGATCCCGTAGCTGGTATGGCAGAGCCAGTTAATGCT